AGGGGCCGCCGGGGCCCCCGGGCGGCACCCGTTGGGCTCCGGGCGGCCGCGGTCCCCCCACCTTCCCACCCCCAGCGCCCTGGGGGCCTGCCCCGAGCTGCGAGGAGCGTCCGAAGGCTGGAAGCGCCCGCCGCCCCAGCCTCGTGCTCCTTTGTTTTTCCCCGTAGGAAGCGTCTGGGTGCAGAGGCTGTAGTATTTATTTACCGGCTTCCTTTACCTGTTTTTTTCTTTTTAAGTCTCCTTCCCACGCTAACAGTGTTTTGTGTTTCTGAATCCGGAACAGCTGTGATTATCTGATGAAACACAAACCTCCTCCCCTCCCTTATTCAGCGGGAAGAAAAGAGGGTGAAAATGACCCGGTTTAAGCTTTCGCGTGCGGGCGGCCGATCGTCTGTTTCAGTGGAAGCCTCTTCTCGGTTCTGATCACGAGGGAGCTGTGGTTTGGGCTGCCCCCCCACAGCTGAGACGCCCAGCGGGTGCTCCGGAAAAGTCGGGCGCAGGCTGGGTCCCACGGGCGGGGACTCGGGCCTTGAGTGCCGCAAGCTCGAGGCGGCGCGGGACCGAATTTCCTGGCCTTTGTTGTGAGAGCGCGGGCGTCATGACTGCGCTCCCGGGTTCAGCACCCGCGCCTGGACAGCGACCTCGCCGCCGGGGGTGTCTGCGCGCGCCTGGACGCGTGCAGGAGGGCCGGGGGCGCTCCTGGGGCCGTGGGTCCCCGGGACAGGGGCTTCATCTGAACCATCTCAGAGAGATGCGGACGCGCGGGGTGCTTCATCTTCTTTGGGAGAAAAAAGTCTCATCCATCCAGGCAGCGTGTGGTTTTGACCCTGAAACTTTGAAAAGAAATGTCAGGGCATCGATCCATACTGCAGCTTGGCTTCAGAAACTTAGGACCCAGCATATTCTCAGGACTCTTCCAGGGCTCCAGAAAGGGCGTTTGCATGCTGCCGCGGGCTTGGGCAAAGCCATACGTTCCTTCCCAGCTTCTTGACCCCGTGTGTGTATCTCTTTAAAAATACCAGCCTACTTTATTACTATTTTATAAATTCTGAAGATTGTTTCTATCCATACCGACCCTTAGGCAGGGCACTTGTGGAGAGGTTTCAGTATGTCTGATTTGCAGTCAGCAATCTCGGAAGCAAAAATGTCATCATTTGACTTTTGTGGTTTGTGGAACTGAGTGTTGCTGGTAATGTTTGGTATTTCTTGGGCCTTGAACTTGTGAGCAATAAGTCTTTTAAAAAGCGACTTAGAGTGTGTCATCTCCTTGATCGTGAAATTGTGGATAAAAGAATATGGAGCATTTTCAGATTTCGTTATATTTCAAAGATAGAATTTAAGCAGGAATACAAATTGTCGTGTAATTTCACTCCAGTAACAGCACACAATTCTAATATGGAATTCTGAGTACTTTTATATAGAGAGTCTTTTTATATTTTCCAATTTATTTACTTCTGTTTTATAGATGTGGAGTGTGAGCCAAAGAAATTTATCTAAAGTTGTAGATTACCTTGCATTAATTCATTTCTGTTCTTAGCTAATAGCCTACAATTTGACAGTACACTGTTTTATCTGCAGTGAAGAAGTATATCAAGACAGAATATTAAAATACATGAAAATCTCCAGAGGGAGTTGTTAGAGTGGATTCTTCCGTGAGAGGGGAGGCAGTGATTTGTCTTGAATAGCTTTGGGCACCCCCTGATGTTTCCTCAGTGGTCTTAGTCTCTGCCAGTGCCCTAGGAGAACAAACTCTGTGAGCAGAGAGCACATTCCCTAAATTTCCCAAAAGCTAATTAAACCATGCGAGCTGATTTGTAGTTAACTGTCACAACAATCCTCTGAGAGAGTCGTTATCCTCATTTTAAAGCTGTGTGCACCTGGAGTCCCAGCTACTCAGGAGGCTGAGGCAGGAGAAGCTTGAGCTCAGGAGTTTGAGGCTGTAGTGTGCGATGATCGCACCTGTGAATGGCCAGTGCACTTCAGCCTGGACAATATACCAACACTCTGTTTCTAAAGGAAAAAAAAAAAAAGGAATTGGAACTGAGACAGGTTAGATGAGTTGTTTGAGTCTAGGAGCCAGAAAGTGGAATGGAGGTCTGTGTGACTGCAAGTCTGTGTGCCGGTTTTTCGTTTTTGTTTTGACACTATGCCAGGCAGCTGTGGATGCCACATGATAAGCTTCAATCTGTCATCACAGTGTGTTTTCCTATTTTGGTAATCAATCGACTAACCTTTTTACAAAGTTGACTAAAATTCAGTAAAAATACATGCTTTAAAATCTTTTAAACTTATTTTTATTTTAAAGATGTGGGGCCCAATTCAGGGTTAGGTATACAAATGTTCATTATGCAGGTACCCTTGTTGCTGAGGTGTGCTCCCCCTTCCCCAGGCAGTCTCCCACTACTTGCAATGTCGCTTCCCTACCCGCCTCCCGGCAGTTTCCTGTTACTGCCAAAAATTTTGTGATGATTCAGTAGATCAAGTTTGTACTTTTATTTTTGGGATAACTTGTCCTAATCTCCCAAAATAACAGTGACTTGTATATTTGTCTTTTAGGAGTTGATACAAAGTTGAAGTTCACGCTTGAGCCATCTTTAGGTCAAAATGGTTTCCAGCAGGTAACTTTATCTTTGGCTTTGAAAACACTCTTCTTTTGGGGTACGAACGGGGTTTAGTGAGATATATTTTCCAAGTGGGAATATTAGCGTATTCTTTGATAGGCACACTAAGATGAGGCACTCATAAAAGATATTTCAGAGGCAGTGACTTTAGAGCCACAAGTGGCCTGGGTTCATACTTGCAGTGAAGAATTTTGCACTTTCTATTAATGGTGCAAGTGTGAAAAAAACTTTAAAAAGCCACTGTCTGTTATTCTGAACCCAGAGTATACATTTTGTTTCTGAGCCAGTGCTTCCTGGCCATCTTGCGTGAATTGCAAATGGGTCACAAGTGTGTTGAGGGTGCCCGCAGGGTGGCCCTTGGGACAGGAACAGCCCCAGACCGGTCACGTCTGACTGAAGGAAGCGTTGACTGTTTACCCTAGAGTGCTGTTCACAGTTGATGTCCCCTATGGATGTCCAGACGGGAAGGGTGAAAAGTACCCATGCAGGTCAAGCCTGTCACTTCCCTGATGTGTCCCATCTGTTCCTAGTGGTATGATGCCCTCAAGGCGGTTGCCAGGCTGTCCACAGGGATCCCAAAGGAGTGGAGGAGAAAGGTAAGGGGGATTATGGGGCTGAGATACAGAGAACCATCCCTGTCCTCCTGTAAGGCCTTTGGAATGCTGGGAAGCATCTTCCACGTTTAGTCACTTGAAGCCCATCTCTTCACCATCCATTCATGCAGGAAGTGTCCACTGATGGTCTGTCCCATGCCAGGTGCTGTTCTTGGTGTGGTGGAAGAAAAACAAAGCAGACCAAAGTCTGTGTCCACACGGAGTGTACCATGAATACAATACAAAGCATGTCAGGTGGTACTAAATGCCATGGATAAAAATAAAGCATAGAAAGGGAGGAGAGGGGTGTGGGAGAGAGGGTGTAAGGAGGTGGTTTCTTCTATAGCAAGGTGATGTCTGAGCAGGCCCCTGAATGAGGTCAGAGGTCAGCTGAGCTGCTGCCTGGGGCGACACTCCAGACAGAGGGAACGGCCAGTCCACCACCCTCAGCCCTGGCGGGAGCCTCTCCAGAAGGTTCTAGCAAAGTGGGGGTGGGGATGTCAGAGCACAGCAGGCAAAGGGAGACCAGGGGAGTGGGGTCAGGGTGGCAGGCCGTGGAGGGCCTGGGGGCTTCTGCTCAGCGCGAGGTAGGAAGCACCGGGAAGTCTCGGCAGGGGCGTGACGTGGCCTGACATTTGTGCACATGGACACGGGACATGACCTGACGTGCGTGCACACGGATGACCTGAGGATGTGGGAGACGAGGGCAGATGCAGGGAGACCCGTGGGAGGCAAGAGAAGGGGGTGGGGATTCTCAGTGGATCCTGAAGACTGAGCTGGCATGAATTCCTGTGGGATTGCATACAAGGTGCAGGAGGGATGGCAAGGGGGATTCCAGGTCCCTGACTCCTGAGGAGGGCGGTGTCACTGCTGACTCAGCTGGGGGGAGCAGCTGTGAGAGAGTGTGTGCCTGCGTGCGTGTGTGTCTGGCTACTTGGGATGGCGGTGGATTAAGTGGTGGGCTTCGGACCTGTAAAGGTGGAGTTGCCTCTTAGACTTCTAATGACGGAGTGGACGTTTGGACACGCGATTCTGATGCTGAGGAGAGGAGTCTGGCTGGGGATACTTATCAACGTTATTCCTGCCAAGTGATGTTCAAATACCAAAGCTTGAAACGCGCTTAGGATATTAATTGATGAACCTGATCTTTGAACTTCTAGAATTTTTTTTTTTGAGTCACTCTGTTGCCCAGGCCGGAGTGCAGTGGCATGCTCATGGCCCCCGCAGCCTCGACCTGCTGGGCTCCGGCGATCCTTCCGTCTCAGCCTTCCCAGTAGCCAGAACTACAGGTGCACACTACCACAGCAGCTAACTTTTTGATTTATCGTAGAGACGAGGTTTCGCCAAGGTGTCCAGACTATTCTTGAACCTGTGGTCTTGGACAGTCCCCTCGCCTCGGCCTCCCAAAGTGCTGGGATGACAGGCTTGCACCACCGTGCCCAGCCCTAAACTTCCAGAATTTGAACCCTGAGCATTCCTCAAAATACACATTGAGCATGGCATTGTGAAGGACGTCTTTCGGAAACACATTTTCCTGGATGAGAGAAGTCCAGGAATCAAAATGCCAGTGACTCTTTGAGAAGTTATTCGTGATGGGAGCCCATCTGTCAGTTGTGCGTGAGTGTTTGTGCGCATGTGTATAGGGCGTGGTTTCAAGACAGAGGCCGCTCCCGTGAGAAGGGGCTCGGAGAGCAGTTTAGAGCCAACTGAAACAAGTATGTGTGATTATGCATCTAATTCAGTGGACTGAAATAGAAGGTGAACATCTTCCTGGCTTGCCTAACCCCTAGTGCCCGCCGGGACTGTTGCTTGACACATAGTGGGAACTCAGCAGTTATTTACTAAAAGAGTGAGCGGAAGGCCCTGAGTGGTGCAGTTCGTGGCAATAGACCCTTCAGTTCAGCCCTTTTCAATTTTTCCTGTGTCTGGTCTGGTCCCTGTCTTCCTGTGGGATGCAGTCGCTGTGCTCTTTTCTTTTTATTTTCCCCCTGAGTCAGAGTCTCACGGTTGCCCAGGCTGGAATGCAGTGGCATGCTTACGGCCACCACAGCCTCGACCTGCTGGACTCAGGCCATCCTTCTGCTTCAGCCTTCCAAGTAGCTGGAACCACAGACGTGTGCCACCATGCCCAGCTAATTTTTTGATGTAGAGACAAGTTCTCACCAAGTTGCCCAGGCTGGTCTCGAACCCCTGGACTCAGGCAATCCTCTCGCCTCAGCCTCCCAAAGTGGAGGATGACAGGTTTGAGCCACTGCACAAGCTAGAAAACTAGCTGTTTTCTTTTTCTTTTCTTTCTTTCTTTCTTTTTTTTTTTTTTGAGTTGGAGTCTCACTCTGTTGCCCAGACTGGAATGCAGTGGCACGCTCCCGGCCACCACAGCCTCGACCTACTGGGCTCCGGCGATCCTTCCGCCTCAGCCTTCCAAGTTATCAGAACTACAGGTGCGCGCTACCACGCCCAGCTAATTTTTGATTTATTGTAGACACAAGGCCTTACCAAGTTGCCTGGACGGGTCTCGAACCCGTGGGCTCCAGCAGTCCACCCGCCTCGGCCTCCCAAAGTGCTGGGATGACAGGCTGAGCCATGGAACCTGGCCTAGCTGTTTTCTTAGTAAAGGTGAAATGGTGTACTCTACATCAGCGCTCTTCCTTCTCTGCGTCTCCTTCAGGTTTGGCTGACCCTGGCGGATCATTACTTACACAGCATAGCCATCGACTGGGACAAAACCCTGCGCTTCACTTTCAATGAAAGGAGTAACCCTGACGATGACTCGATGGGCATTCAAATAGTCAAGGTAATGCCCCGGGGTCCTGGTGTGGACGGAAGGAGGACGCCACCCCTCTACACGTGGGCCCACACTTGTGTCCAAAGCCAGAGGTGTTTCGGACAGAGGGCCCAGTGAGCTGCACCTGCTGGGCTGAATGTCTGTGTGTGTTTTGTCCTCTCGTTTCATGAGTTAACAGCTTTTTCGTGGGGAACCTTGACTGTGCCTTGGCATCACACATGTAAACATCGCCAGTAAGAAGAAAACATTCAGGATGATCTTCCATCCATATTCAGTTGACTTACCTTCCTCACATGAAAGAGATTGAAATTCCATTTTTTTTTTCTTTAGCATGGGTCAGTGCTGTCAACTGGATTTTTACATTAAAGTCACTGATTAAGAAGTCTAAAGTTGGAGCTGGGCTTGGTGGCTCAGCCTGTAATCCCGCACTTTGGGAGGCTGAGGTGAGTGGATTGCCTGAGCCCGTGGGTTCGAGACCCGCCTGGGCAACTTGACGAGACCTCATCTCTACAATAAATCAAAAAATCAGCTGGGAGTGGTAGCGTATGCCTGTAATTCCGGCTACTCAGAAGGCTGAGGAGGAAGGATCGCCGGAGCCCAGCAGGTCGAGGCTGCGGTGGCCAGGAGCGGCCACTGCACTCCAGTCTGGGCGACAGAGTGAGACTCCAACTCAAAAAAAAAAAAAGTCTAAAGTTAAGTATATTTCATATTAGAATCATTTGGCTCTTGTTAGAGTCTTTGATAGTTTCTTAACTGTCAATTTCTAAAGGTGGTTAGGATTTGGGAAGCTGAGACAGGAGGACTTCTTGAGGCCAGGAGTTCGAGATCAGCCTGGGCAACATGACAGGACCCCATCTCTACAAAAAATAAAAAGAATTAGCCAGCCGTGGTGGTGTGTGCTGTAGTCTCAGCTACTTGGGAGGCTGAGGTGGGAGGATTGCTTGAACCCAGGAGTTGAAGGCTGCAGTGAGCTGTCGTCATGCCACCGCACTCCAGCCTGAGTGACAGCAAGATTGTCTCAAGACACACATACGTACAAACATAAGTTAGACAGATTGGGGGGTCCGCTTCCACCAGATGAGGCAGGCACAGGCCAGCTGTGCAGCTGTGGTTCACCTACCTGGATTCTGACAGTTGATTAGCGCCTGGGACTGGAAGCCAGGGATGCAGAATCCATTGGCTTCCAGTGTTATCCTTTTATGTAAGGCTAGCGCATGGCTCTTTATTTTGCATGAGTACATGACAGTGATGCTAAGCTGGGTTTTCAAAAGGAAAGTTATTTCATCCAAATTTTGGCTGCCACAAGATGGCTAATGTTTGGGCACATTTGAAGGTGCTTTTTGTGGGGGGAGGAAGCGCTCGCTGAAATGAGCTACTTTCTGATCTAACTGGGTCTGTTTCAGACAAATGCTAAAAAAAATTGTGGGACTTTATATTGTGTTGGATACATTTCAGCTGTGTATTTAGAATTTCAGGGTATGTTTCACAGAGATGAACTATCTCGTATTTGAAATATTAGCTTTCTATTTAACTTGTGAATTAAGGCATTGCACGTTTTTTGGTTTGCTTTTGAGTCTGGGTCTCGCGTTGTCGCCCAGGCTGGAGTGCAGTGGCAGGATCACAGCCCCCATAGTCTTGACCTGCTGGGCTCAGGTGATCCTCTGCCTCAACCTCCCAAGTAGCAGCTGGGACTACAGGTGCCACCATGCCTGGCTAATTTTTTGGATTCTTCTTTTTTTTGGACAGTTGGGGGGATATTACTGTGTTGCTTACACCATTCTTAAAATCCTGGTCTCAAGCAATCCTCCTGCCTCAACCTCTCAAAGTGCTGGAATTACAGGAGTGAGCCACTGTGCCTGGCCACAATGTACAGTTTATAATAATGTTATTAAGATCTTTCATTTCCTCATTGAAGCGAATGCTATGTCAGTAAAATGACATCAGCTCCTGAAAATTGTAGTCTCTGCTCGGTAATTAAGTTATAGATATTGTTCTCATTAAATATTAAAGTACAGCAAATGTTTCTGTCCTTCTTATAAAAATTCATAAAACAATTTGTTTGCATGATTTTTCTGTCTCTCTACAATACTAATTGCATTTTTGCTATTTTGATTTACTCCTTAATATTATTTACTTTTTGGCAGCTGAATATTATACCGCTTTTTGGAGAAAGGAATAATGCTAGCTTCAATCACATGTGTTAAAATGACTGTTGTATCTGAGGGATATTATTAAGACTGACTGTCAATTTACGTGGAACTATACTGTAAGTTTTGTTTATTCCAAGTCACTTTTTACTTTTTAATTTTTGTTGTAGAGATGAGGTCTCGCCAAGTTGCCTAGGCTGGTCTTGAACCCGCGGGCTCAGGCAATTCACTTGCCTTGGCCTCCCAAAGTGCTGGGATTGCAGACTGAGCCACTGAGCCTGGTCCCAACTCACTTTTTGTGTTAACTCTGGAGACACTTTCCATACAAAGTTTGCCTTCCTGGAATTCCCCTCACACACCTCTCTTAGCCTGTGTTCTAGAAAACAGAAAAAAGAAAACAAAAGGAGATGTTTGGGCCCATGTGTGTAAGATACATACACATTTTTTAAAAAAAACCACAAAAACACTAAAATCCATGTTGATCATTTGACTCTATTTGAAGGTGAGGCAAAAAAATAACGCAGCGTAATTTTTTTGGCGGGAGCATTGGGAGTTTCTTTAGAAATCTCGGCTGGTTGACAGTAGTGGAAAACTGCGGTGGGGGGTGGACCTGGGGGCTGGGGAGGTGGGATTGGCAGTAGTGGAAATCTTCCTGGGGAAGGGGGGCACACCTCATCAACAATGAGGCGCACAATGAATATTTGTGTACCTAACCCTAAATTGTACCCCACGATTTTAAAATAAAAAATTTAAAAGTTAAAAAAATAAATCTTGGCCAGGCGTGGTGGCTCAAGCCTGTCATCCCAGTGCTTTGGGAGGCCGAGGCAAAAGGTTTGCCTGAGCCCAGGGGTTCGAGACCAGCCCAGGCAACTTGGCGAGACCTCGTCTCTATAATAAATAAAAAATAAGCCAGATGTGGTGACATATGCCTGTTTTTCTGGCTACTTAGAAGGCCAAGGCAGAAGGATTGCCCGAGCCCAGCAGGTCGAGGCTGCAGTGGCCGTGAGTGTGCCCCTGCACTCCAGCCTGGGCGATAGAGTGAGACTCCGACTCAAAACAACAGCCAAAAACGACATCTCAGTTCCCTCCTGTTCTAGGACCTCCACCGCACAGGCTGCAGCTCCTATTGCGGCCAGGAGGCCGAGCAGGACAGGGTGGTGTTGAAGCGGGTGCTGCTGGCCTACGCCCGGTGGAACAAGAACGTCGGCTACTGCCAAGGCTTCAACATCCTGGCCGCACTCATCCTGGAAGTGATGGAGGGCAACGAGGGGGACGCGCTGAAGGTGAGTGTCGGGCCCTGACGCTCTGCCGAGCGTGAGGAGTGGGGACTGTGGTTTCTCGTCCTCAATGCTGCCCTTTCCTGAGGTGTTTGCCACACCTGTGCAATGACTTGGGACAGCATTTGCCCCCGTCAGAGCCACGTTGAGGGGCAGACTCATGGAGCAGCCAGCTGTGAAGTGCACTTTGAGGCGAATGTGTGTTGAGTCTCACTTATCAGCCATTGTGCCGCTATGGCATGTTAAGTATGAGTTGTATTCATTATCCGTTGTTGTGTAACAGATTAGCTGCTCAAAACAGCAGACGTGTGGCCACATAGTTTCTCTGAGTCAGAAATCTTGACACAGTGTAGTAGGCTTAAGGTCACGTCACTGTGGTATTCAGACTGTGGGCTGGGGTTGTGGTCTCATCTGAAGGCTCAGTTGGGGGTGGAGAGTGTTTGCTTGCAAGTTTGTAGATGTGGTTCTTGGCGGATTGAATTCCCCCCCAGACAGTTGAACTGAAGGCCTCGGCTCCCTGCTGGCTATTATCTGGAGTTCTCTTTGAGTGCCTCACCATTGGGGCTTCTCCCTCTCCCATTCTGGTGTCTGGCATCCCCCCAAATGAGCAAGGTTGAGAGAGTGAGCTAGGCTGAAGTGTTCACGTGACAGATTGGCAGGCAAATCTCAGAAGCAACATTCTATCATTTTTCCATGTTCTGCTCATGAGAAGCCAGTCACCAGGTCCCACACACGGCTGAGGGGAAAGGGGCCGTGAGGCGGGGATCACTGGGACCATGTTAGAAACTGCCTCCCGCTTCTGCCTGATTCTGGTTGGATGGCTGTATTAGGTTGTTTTAATCTTTGCTATTTGGAGCAAAGTATGGAGGACCTGGGCTGACAGTGTCTGTGGAAGGTGTTTATGTGGAGAAATATTACAGAGCTGAATTATATTCTTATCTTTTAATCTCTGGTGCCTAAATAGTTATTAGTTAAAAGAACTTCTGGAGACACTTTGTGAGGAGGTGCTAGCGATGTAAGCTTATTGTCTGAACCTGAGTCTGTGAGTCACCAGAAATGGTCTTTATGAGACGTGAAGCCTTTTGACTACAGAGGCCAGGGTCTCCCATGCTCGGGGCAATGTGGGGTTGTTCATTCATATGGAACCTTTCATCTGCTGTTGTGAGTGGTGCTGTGTGATGTGTGTGGCAGACACTCAGTCTTTGTATCCAAGACCCCTCCCCACTCTGAAAGTGGTGAATGCCTTATGGACATTCTTGGTCTCTGACTAATAGGATACGGAAAAACAAACACACGTGCCTCTGGGTTGTATACACAGCGTGGTGGACCTCGTTATAAATCTAGCTTGGTGTGCTCTAAGTCACGTTCACCCTCTCACTTTTTCCATCCATGTATTTAAGGGAGCAGCTTTGAAGTGACTTGTTCATCAAATAGGCGGGGGCGGGGGAGGGAGGAAGACAGTGACAGAGACATGACTCTGAGGTGTTCTTTATTAAGGAGCAATTTTGTTTACCCAGTCTACAAGTGTTTGTCATTTTTCATCAGCTGTAATTCGATGGCTGTGAAATGGTAATTGTCCTGTCGAATAATTGGAATAAGTGATTCAGGTTGGGGGTGGGATGGAGAAATTGGGGGACGGGATGGCACGTGCCAGTCACATCAGGAAAGGGTTCGGTGGCCCTTGGAAAGGAAAACCCCCTGTAAAAGCTGGGTTAGATAAAGCTGAGAAACTGAGTATTTCTGCTCATGCCCCAAGAAATGCACTCAGTGAGATCACATCGTGAGCATTGAGGAGCGTGTGGGCCTCGTGGTTAGATATTCATGATGCGAGGAAAGGTTGGCCTCACCAGGAGCGCTTCTGGGTGAGGAAGGTTTGGGGTGTCAGTGTTTTTCCAGCAGCTGTCTCAGCCTCTGCATATCATAATACCTAGGGAAATACATAGTTGATTAGAAACAGGGGAGCCGTTTTTCTGCTTCTCAGAACTGACTGTGTTTTCCTAGTAACTATTTTATTTTTAACTATCTGTTAAAATTCAAAGCTCTCTCATTATTTTTCCTAATTTTTTTTGTTGTTTTGGGATCTTGCCTTTGAAATTTAGCAGTGTGTGGAGTAGGGGGCAAGCCATCTTCTGTCAGACTTTGAGACAGAGAATTTCATCATGTCGCAAGACTTACTATGATAGTTGAAGAAGTGATTTTTGTTTTTCTTGTTTCTATGTAATTTTGAGGCATCGTAATTTATTTCTTCCCTCCCTGTCTTTCTTTTCTTTTCTTTCCCTTCAACAAGGTCTCCCTCTGTTGCCTAGGCAGGAGCGCAGTGGTATGATGATAGCTCATCGCAGGTTCAAACTCCTCGACTCAAGTGATCCTCCTCAGTCTCTCAAGTAGCTGGAACTCCAGGCACACACTACCACGTCCGGCTAATTTTTATTGTTTTATTTGTCGAGACAGGGTCTTGCTATGTTGCCCAGGCTGGTCTCAAACTCTAGCCTCGAGCAAATCTTCCACCTTGGCCTCCCAAAGTGCTGGGATTGCAGGTGCGAGCCACTGTGCACAGCCGCATCATTTCTTAGTAATGTTAAGCATCGTCTTTGATACCCCGTCTTATCCTTAGATGAAGGTTACAGTGGCCAGCCACCTCCTGCCTTGCCCTTGCCTTCCTGACCCTGTGCGTCCCTCTCCTCTTAGTCCCTGGAGTGCTGTCCCCCTGCCCCCCAGCACCCTGCCCTGCTGAGGTCTCCCTTTCAGCTGCCGTCTTCCGGCGCCTCCTCCCTCCACGCAGACTGAACATGTCCTTTTCTTGTTGCCAAGCTCTTACTTCCAAGGTGAAGTCATATTCACCTGGCGATGTCGGAAGACTGGCGCTCTTGAGGTCTGGCCTCCCCCGTCACCGTCACCGGGAGAAGGGCCTTCTCCAGAGAATACCTCGCCCTTCCTGACTCATTCACAGCTGTGACCTGGGAAAGTAGAGATTACAGCTGAGAAGAAGGAAAGACGGTCCTTGGCAGGGCCGGGAGATGGGGATTTGAGAAAGAGAGGATTGCAGATCCTGAAGATCCACATGGGACATAGACTCCACCGGTGTAGAGCCCGCCATGATTTTCCTCCTGGTTTTGCTTTTGTGGTGCTTCAGGAAATGATCTGGTCTTTTCGGGTGCAGGCACAGTCAGTGCTTGCCAGTGACAGGGAGAGGACCCGGTGGGTGTGTAGCTCCCGCGTGTGTCTTGCTGGGTCACGCCAGTGGGTCTTGGCTTTTTAGAGAAGGTCATACAAACAGAAAAGTGACAATGAATAGTAGTTTGAGGGACTTGTATAACAATCTCATGAAAGGAATACAGATTTTTTCAAAAGTTCCATTTGTTCAAACCAGCCTAGTTGAATTCTCCCAGGAGAGAGAAGTGGACAAAATGCCAGCACGAATTGCTCCAACAGCCCAGGCTGAGGGTCAGGGCACTTCGAGCCTGCTGGGTGTGGGTTTGTGAGAGGCCGGCTCTGCTGAGGTTGGAAAATTGTGGGGACGACAAGGGCCAACACTGAGGCTCCTGCTGGTGGCTGCTGAGGTGTGTGTCTGTCCCAGAGTGAAGCTGAGGGTTGCATAATCACGCTACTTCTGGCGTGAACTCAGGTCTAGTGACCCTTCTAGAAACTTCCAACAGCGGCACACTTGGGGTTGGTGGTACTTAGATAATTATGCCGCCCGCTCCTTAACCAGGGTGTTGGTGAGCTCTCAAACCCCGATAGGCTGAAACGATAGTGAGCTTTGGTTAACTGCATTTTTTTTTGAGTCGGAGTCTCACTGTCGACCAGGCTGGAGTGCAGTGGTACACTCTTGGCCACCCCATTGTCGACCTGCAGGGCTCTGGTGAACCTTCTACCTCAGTCTTCCAAGTAGCCGGAACTATAGGCGTGCACTACCACACCCGGCTCATTTTTGATTTATTGCAGAGACGAGGTCTCGCCAAGTTGCCCGGGCTGGTCTCGAATCCGCAGGCTCAGGCTATCCACTCCGGCTTCCCAAAGTGCTGGGATGACATGCTGAGCCACTGAGCCCAGCCAACTGCATTTTTATTTTGTTTTGAGTCGGGGTCTCACTCTGTTGCCCAGGCTGGTTGCAAGGGTGCAATCCTGGCTCACTGTAGCCTCGACTGCTGGGCTTAGGTGATCCTTCTGCCTCAGCCTCCTGAGTGCCACCACACCCAGCTAATTTTTTTTTACTTTTTGTAGAAATGGGGTCTCATTATGTTGCCTGGGCTGATCTCAAACTCCTAGACTCAAGCCATCCTCCTGTCTCGGTCTTCCAAAGTGCTGGGGTTATAGGCATGAGCCACTGCACCCGGCGGTTAACTGCACTTTATTTATTTGAAGACAGTCTTTCTATTTAGGACGTGTTGGGGTCCTGGTTTTACCAAATGGTCTTGTTCTTTCTTTTTCTTCAGATTATGATTTACCTCATTGATAAGGTCCTTCCTGAAAGCTATTTTGTCAATAATCTCCGGGCGTTGTCTGTGGACATGGCCGTCTTCAGAGACCTCTTGAGGATGAAGCTCCCAGAACTGTCCCAGCACTTGGACACCCTCCAGAGGACAGCAAACAAAGAGAGCGGAGGTAGTGGTGATTCTAGTGATGGTTCTCGCTGCTGTGCCTTTGACGTGTGGGACTTCTCTGATTCCATAGTACCCATGAATCTAAACCTTGGGCGAAAGTGGTACTTCCGTTAGGAGGTGTTGGATGCAATGAGCAGTTAGAGATCTAGAGCACAGAAGCAAAGACCGAAAAATGTAGGGCCACGTGTTGAACCTCTAACTGGTCGTGGTCATGAAGTCAGTTGAGCGCCTGATACCAGGGCCGATCAACAATGGAAATGACGGGTTGTGCTCAGGACGGGGAAGGGGCACGCATCTTCTCATCCAGCTAAACTGCCCCGAGCTGACGCCAGGCCGACAGGCGTCATTGAAACGGAGTCCCAGGGATGACCTAACGCACACTGGCGTTTGGCCTGAACCGCCAAGGTTACGGGAGGGCCGACCGGGGAGCTGCTGCTCTCAAGTGGGCACCATCCGGCTGTTGGAAACAGCTGAGACGTCTGAGCCCGGGATACCAGAAGGCACAGCGTTGGCTGGGTTTGCTGGGTTTCCTGTCAATGACTGCCAGGTCCTCTTGTAGACCAGGCATCTGGAAGTCTGGTCTGATCCACACATTTAAGTCTGGAACAAATTTAGAGGATTTTGAGGATCGAATCTGTGGTTAAAATGCACGGGTGGCACTAGTGACACCCAAGTGCCTGTAGGCATTGTCTTCTAAGCGTTCGAAGAATCTTCTCATTGAACGTGGCCATGCAGTGGCATGGTGCCCCGTGTGGCTCTGAGGATGTTTCCAGGTAGACCCACCCCCCCGCCAGAGTCAGACACACTTGACTCTGAGTTGGGACTGAGCTCTGTGTTTTCCCCCACGTGACTTGCACTTGGCTGGGAGGAATGACCCCAGAGGCTAAGGTTCTGCACAAAAAGACTCCCTTTGTCCGTAGGTAAGGAGGAAGATGATGCCAGCATCAGGCAATGGGGCATACTGATTGTCGTGGGGAGGGGAGTGCTCCGTCTAAATATCTGACTCCTGTATTTCATTACCACGCTGATGCTATCACAAAGATGGGAGGGAGGGCTATGTTTCTAGTCAATCTAGATATTTCAAAAAGGGCTAGATTCAAGATTGTTAAAACTGTGTATCGGCCAGGGGCAGCGGCTCACACCTGTAATCCCATCCTTTTGGGAGGCCGAGGTGAGAGGATTGCCTGAACCCAGGAGTTTGAGACCAGCTTGGGCAACTTAGCAAGGCTCATCTCTACAATTAAAAAAATGAGCTGGGTGTGGTGGCGTGCACCTGTAGTCCCACCTACTTGACCGGTTGAGGTGGAAGTATCACCTGAGCCTGGCAGGTCGAGGTTGTGGTGGCTGTGAGCGTGCCACTGCATTCTAGCCTGGGCAACAGAGAAGCTGAAAAAAAAAAAAAAAAAAGGCAAAGCAACAAAAAAACCCTATAATTTCGTATAATTTCATTCAAAATATTTTAGAATTTAATGCTGCTTAATCTCCAAATGTTTTTCGTTTAATTCCATTGTGGTCTGAGAACTACGTATAATTTAAGTAGACAACTAATTTGTAATGAGCAATTTTATTCTTATCAGCAGCATTGAATAAAAGTAGGCTTTGTAAGATTTTGGAAACCTGATGACCTTTGCTTTTAAGAGGCTAAAAATCCTTTCTAGTCTGTCTTTGGTGGGAAAACTTGCTTCTTAATTCTCAGTATGCTGCAATAGGAGAGCCAGAGTAAGTCTCAAATTAAGATTTCTGAGGTTTATCATAAAGATTTTATGAAGTTCATATTATTGAGTGTTTCTTTTGTTTTTGAGTCGGAGTCTCACTCTGTCACCCAGGCTGGAGTGCAGTGGCACATTCACGACTCATTAAAGCCTCGACCTCCTGGGCTCAAGTGATCCTTCTGCCTCAGCCTCCCGAGTAGTTGGGACTACAGGCTCATGCCACCACTTCCGGCTAGTTTTTTGATTTATTTTATCTGGTTTTTATTTCTTTGTAGAGACAAGGTCTTAATACATTGCTCAGACTGGTCTCAAACTCCTGAGCTCAAGCGGTCCTCCCTCCTTGGCCTTCCAAAGCGGTAGGATTCCATGGGTGAGCCACTGAGTCTGGCCATTGAGTTTTAAAAAATTAAACACACCTATGTTCTTCCAGAAACATGGGAGGAAAGAATAGGAGGAAAGAAGGAGAACTTAGGGATACAAGGAGATCTGTCGGGAAAGAGAACACATTTGATGGGCGTGGGAGGCTGGAGGAGTTTGGACCCGGCCAGGCGCCAGGGCTGAAGGCACTCAGTGTGTGTGTTTCCTTGCAGGTGGATATGAGCCCCCCCTTACGAACGTCTTCACCATGCAGTGGTTTCTAACCCTCTTCGCCACGTGCCTGCCCAATCACACGGTTCTGAAGATCTGGGATTCGGTCTTCTTTGAAGGCTCAGAAATTATCCTGCGGGTGTCACTGGCCATCTGGGCCAAGCTGGGCGAGTAAGTGATGCCTGCTTCTGTTCTGTGGCGTGGTGGTGGGGTCCCACGCATTGCATGTTTTGTGCTCTTAGGTGTAGCGCATCCAGAGTTAGCCATGAGGAAAGGGAGAATTGTGGCCCTTCTCGGTGCATTCACCTTCTGACACCTTGGCAGCTGGTTCCTGGCAGATGGCATTTACTGAGGAGGGGGCCAGGTCTTCTCCAGGTGGGGGGTCTGTTGCCCAGGGCAGTGTCCTGGCTGGTTCACTTTTTGTCGGGGTCTCCCTGGACCCTAGTTGGGGAGAGGGAGAGGAGCTTGGAAGAGACGGCCTGAAGGCCTGGAGAGGGTTGGCGGGCTTACTGGTGAATACCACAGTTTGGATTCTATGTGAATCTTAATTTTGTTCTGCCTCTCAGGGCTGTGAGACAATGAAACGAGACATCACATACAAGGCATGGCAGGACACATGGAACTTCTTTCCTTTCATCATGTCATCGTGTCTTAATTCTCTGCTGCAATCTGTTGCTGCCAAGACATGTCACCAAATAGATTTGACTTGTATTCTTTTCTGGTAGAGGGGCTGAAGAACAGGGTATTTTCACACATCTCTGTTGTATTACGATCTTCCATTAACGTTGTACCTTTTGGGTAGTGGAAGAAGCATTGGGATGAAACTGTTTAGTCAACTGAAGAAGCAGCCACGGTTTATTTGTTTTGAATTGGAGTCTCACTCCATGGCCCAGTCTAGAGTGCAGTAGCCTGCTCACGGCCACTCCAGTGTCAGCCTGCTGGGTTCCGGCGATCCTTCTGTCTCGGCCTTCCAAGGAGCTGGAACCACAGGCATGAACTACCCATGCCCAGCTCATTTTTTATTTATTGTTAAGATGAGGTCTCGCCAAGTTGCCCAGGCTGGTCTTGAGCCCACAGTCTCAGGCAATCCACTTGCCTCGGCCTCCCAAAGTGCTGGAATGACAGACTGAACCAGCGAGCCTGGCCACAGCCGTGTTTTTAACGCGTCCTTCTTACCCTCTAGGTGGCTTGAGTGGGCACCGTAGATGACATGTCAGAAAACTGACAGCGCATGAGCAGTATTTTGCCTCAAAACCCTTTTAACCAGCCTTTCTGTTTATGCTAAGTTGCTTCCTGGGAGACTTCCAGTCTCTCTAACTTTTTTTTTCTTTTGCAAAGAAGTATTTACCAACTATCAGTTCAGAGATTTACAAAAGTCGTTATTGCGTGTATCTTTGCACGTCTCACAGCTGTGTCTGTGGCCTTTGTTTTACTGTTCATGCTTCTCCACTGGGCAGATGTCTTCACCTGTCTGGTACTTGGTGTGCCGTTTTCTCATCTTTCGTCTCCTCCCAATAACCACTCTTTCTGCGCCGTGCACTTTTGGCCTCCTCCCCGTCTTGTGAGCTTTCTGAGAGCTGATGGTTTCCCTGGGCATGATGATCCAATGACTGCGTAACTGGTTTAAAGATTCAGGCATAAAGCACTTGACTGTACGATGAGTCAGTGACCATTCCTTTGTGTTCCTTTTTTTGTTTTTGAGTCGGGGTCTCACTCTGTCACCTAGGCTGGAGTGCAGTGGCACCATCCTGGCCACCACAATCTCAACCTTTTGGGCTCAGGTTTTTCTTCCACCTCAGCCTTCCAAGTAGCTGAAACTACAGGCATGTGCCACCTCACCTGGCTAATTTTTAAATTTTTTTGTAGAGATGAGGTCTTGCCATGTTGCCCAGACTGGTCTTGAACTCCTGGCCTCAAGCGATCCTCCCACTTTGGCCTCCCAAAGTGCTGGGATGACAGGTGTGAGCCATCGCACCCAGCTGTCTTTGTGTTAGTTCTTAGTGAGGGAGCAGGAAGAAGTGAGGTGATCCTGGGTTTATTCTCGTCACCTCTAGGATCAGAATGTATTCCTATGATCACCCCAGGGATGTCACCCTGTTGAAATGATAATAGCTACAACTGAGAGCCAGTGCTCATGAGTACTTGCGGCGACTGGCGCCATTCTGCGTGCCCCGGGCTGTAGGCTCACTCCCTCTTCCCTGTCATTCCGTGGAGCCTGGCATTGCATCTCCTGTGGATACGGAGACTGAAGCAGAGAGCCGAGGGCATTGCTGCGAGTCACCCAGTCACTGAGTGGGTGACCTTGATTCTGAATCCTGGTGGCCTGGCCCTAGGGTCTGTGCTAGTAATACCATGATGCTACAAATCATAAGTGGCTGCTGTCTATGGATTCAGGGGACCTGGGAGTCAGACTGACAGGATGGTGACTGGTTCTGAGTTTTAGCTCATTACGATTCTGCATCTTTCGAGCAACTTATTGTGGGGGAGGAAAGACATGCAATGCACGTTGCAGGGACCTAGGGGCATGCCGTGGCGTCGGGCAGTTTAGACATCTCATCTCGGTCAGTTCCAGTAGTCCTGAGAAGCAGATGGGGTCAGTCGCCCTCTCTTCAAGTAAGAGAACTATCCAGGAGGTTTTTTGTTTTTGTTTTTGTTTTTTTAGAGATAGGGTCTCTCTTTATATCCCAGGCTGGAGTGCAGTGATGTGATCACTGCAGCCTTGGACTCCTGGGCTCAAGCAATCCTTCCACTTCAGCCTCCTGAGTAGCTGGGACTACAGGTGTACACCTCCAAGCTTGGTTCATGTTTTAAGGTTTTTGTAGAGTTGGGGGTCTCGCTATGTTGCCCGGTTCAGGCACTCCTCTGGCCTCAGCCTCCCAAAGCACTGGGATGACAGGCATGAACCACCATGCCCAGCTGCCAGGAAGAACCATGCAGCACACAGGTCTCTCTGGCATGTACACACTTGAGCAACACAGGTGCCTTGTGTGTGGTATCTGTGGGCCCTGTCCTCTTGCCTTGGCTTCTGGAACTTGGGACTTTGGAATTTCCACCTTTCACTCCCCAGAGGCTCTTCTGGGACATGCGAGCCGTGGCCCCCGTCCTCCCCACCCCTCCCCGTGTTTCTCTCTCTGGGTGCCCCTCTCCTCCCCTGCTGCTCGGCTCACTCCGTCATCGTCTCGTGCCTGGCCCATCGCACTCGCACCCGGTGTCTGCCGCGCCCCCTCCAGGCTGACATGCCAAGGCCACAGCTGTTCTCTCCCTCCCTGGTTCAAGCCTTCTGGTGACTTGGGCTCTGAAGAGGCTCGGCTGCCACGTGGGGCCTCTGTGGCCTGCCTTCTGCCGCCTCCTCCCTCAGCTCCACCGGCTTCCCCCACGTGCAGCCACATGCCCTACGTACACCCACCACCCCGCTCGCGTGCAACTGCAACTCCCACGCTGGCCGTGCAGCACTGCCTGTAGTTTCCAGAGTGGGCCGTGTCTCCAGCATCCGTGTTGGGGGAATACCTTTTCTTCCCATCAGCCTGAAGCACATTTCTTTCTTTTTTTTTTGAGTTGGAGTCTTACTCTTGTCACCCAGGCCGGAGGGCAGTGGCATGCTCACGGCCACCGCAGCCTCGACGCACACCACCACGCCCAGCTAATTTTTGTGATTTATTGTAGAGACAAGGTCTCACCAAGTTTCCCAGGCAGTCCTCTCACCTCTGCCTCCCAAGGTGCTGGGTTGACAGGCTGAGCCACTGTGCCCGGCCTGAAGCACATTTCTCAAAGCTCATCTCAGGCACAGCTTCTCCTCTCACCTCCCGGCGTGAATGTAGTCCCCTCTTCATTTATGCCCACACGCTCCTCTGTGTATTCGTGATAATAATATTCGTGATGATACTTCAGCCCCTTACTGCATTTATTTATTTACGGGATGGCAGCTGGGAGATGAGAACACCCGAGCCTGAGGTTCTTCTGTCTCCGTGTGTGTTTTTGGCGACCCGTGGACACCCCCTACACGTGTGCCTCGGCATGTAGGTCTCATGGCTGATGGGCACGGGGTCATCCCACCCCACAAGGGACTTTGCGGAGATGAAGCAGAGATGTCTGGTCCTCCCTGCTCTGGGATGCTCCTTTTTTCCCCTCCTAGAAGAAAGGTTAAACTATGACCTGCCGCCCAGGTTGCAGATGTCAGAGTCTCTCTTTGCGTGTGGAAGTGAATGCCAGACACAGGGTATCGTCCAGCAGGCAGCAGCACCACGAAGAGACTCTGGAAGTTCTGCTGGTGAAAACCTCCCGGGACCCACGGACCGTGCAACCAAGCGCTGGCCTTTTCATCCTTGGCTTCTGCTTTTGGAGTGTGGCTTCAGTCTGTTAGTGGGATCCATGTTTGGATTAAGACTAGCCCACACCCTGCAGAGGACGGCTGTCCTTCACGGGCCCGCTCTGTGGTTGTGACTTCCAGGCGGTGGTGGGTGTGCTGATGTCTCCAGCATGTCCCACGGAAACAGAAAAGATGCCTCAGTGGCCAGGGGAGCCATGAGGAAGACCCATGAAGACCCATTCTGTAACAAGCACCTTGGAGTGGCTTTGGTATTTTTATTTTAAAATTTCTTTTTCTGTATTTATTTTTTGGGGTCTCCTGTCCAGGCTGGAGTACAGTGGCATGATCGTGATGGTCATGGCTCACGGCAGCCTCCACCTCATGGACTCAGGTGATCCTTCCACCTCAGCCTCCTGAGTACCTGGGACTACAGGCGTGTGTCACTGCCATGCCCAGCTAATGTTTTCTTTTTTTTGCTTTTTGGTAGAGAAGAGATCTCTGTGTTGCCCAGGCTGGTCTCAAACTCCTGGCTACAAGCAATCCTCCTGCCTTGGCCTCCCAAAATGTTGGGATGACAGGTGTGAGCCACTGCACTGGGCCACTTGGTATTTTTAACTCTTTTCTCCACACACAGTGGGCCGTGCAGTGAGTGCGTCTCTGGGTGTTGGTTTTTGCCAATGGCTGCCATGGTTGGTTAGATGGCGGGAGGTAACACGTCAGTTTGTGCCCATGGCCCGTAGCCGTCATGCAGCAAGGGCGCCCTCAGCGAGACCTTTCTGTCTTCCTTCGTCCAGGCAGATAGAGCGCTGCGAGACGGCGGACGAGTTCTACAGCACCATGGGGCGCCTCACCCAGGAGATGCTGGAGGATGACCTGCTGCACAGCCATGAGCTCATGCAGGTGGGTGGCGGCGTGGCAGAAACTCACGCAGGTGGGTGGGGACATGACGAGATCATGAGGTGGGCAGATGGCGTGGCCACAAGCTCACGCAGGTGGGGTGGCATGGCCACGAGCCCACGCATATGGGTGGTGGTGTGGCCACAAGCTCATGCGAGTGAGCGGGGGCATGGCCACAAGCTCATGAGGAGAGTGGGTGGCGTGGCCACAAACTCATGCAGGTGGGGGGTGGCGTGGCCATGAGTTCACACAGGTGGGTGGAAGCGTGGCCATGAACTCATGCCGGTGGATGGTGGAGTGGCCATGAGCTCGTGCAGGTGGGTGACAGCAGGGTCATGAGCTCACGCAGGTGGGGGAGCGGCGTGGCCATGAGCTCACACGGGTGGGGGGCAGCTTGGCCACAAGCTCACACAGGTGGGTGGAGGCGTGGCCATGAGCTCATGAGGTGGGTGGGCGGCGTGGCCACAAGCTCACACAGGTGGGGGGTGGTATAGCCATGAGCTCATGCAGGTGGGTGGAGGCATGGCCATGAGCTCAAAGGCAGGTGAGTGGTGCGGCCACAAACTCATGCAGGTCGGGGGTAGCATGGCTATGAACTCACACAGGAGGGTGGCAGTGTGGCATGAACTCAGGCAGGTGGGTGGTGGAGTGGCCACAAGCTCATGCAGGTGGGGTTCAGCACGGCCCCAAGTTTGTGTGGGTGGGTAGCCACGCAGCTCAGGGAACCAGGTGCGCAGGAGTAGCTGGGGCTTGCACAGTGGTCCAGGGGAGTGTGCATGGCCGGCCCTCAGACTTAGGTTTTCAGAGTGACCAAGAGGCTCTGTAATTCGGTAAGAATCCAAGTCATGAGAGGAAGGAAGGGACGGATGATGGATACTGTTGCAGCTTCCATTCACACTGAGTTGCTTGAAGATCATTAGGTGTGATAGCAAGATGAGCTGGAAGAGAAAGGCATCACCAGGTACTTATTCTGGATCGTACTCTTAACTGTTTTTGTTTATTTATTTACCTGAGGTGTGGTCTCGCCCTGTAGCCTGTGCTGAGTGCAGTGACATGACATGGCTCACAGCGGCCTCAACATCCTGGACTCAGGCGATCCTCCTGCCTCAGCTTCCTGAGTAGCTGGAGCCACAGGCACACACCACCACACCTGGCTAATATTTTTTATTTTTTTGTAGTGACAAGGTCTTGCGATGTTGTTGCCCAGGCTGGTCTTGAACTCCTGTCCTCAAGTGATCCTCCCACCTTGGCCTCCTGAAGTGCTGGGATTGGCCGGGCTCGGTGGCTCAGCCTGTCATCCCAGCACTTTGGGAGGCCAAGGCAAGTGGATTGCCTGAGCCCGTGGGTTTGAGACCTGCCCGGGCAACTTGGCGAGACTTTGTCTCTACAATAAACTAAAAAAAAAATTAGCTGGGCATGGTAGCGCATGCCTGTAGTTCCAGCTACTTGGGAGGTTGAGGCAGAAGGATCACCGGAGCCCAGCAGGTCGACACTGGCGTAGCTGTGAGCATGCCACTGCCCTCCAGCCTGGGTGACAGAGTGAGACTTCAACTCAAAAAAAGAAAAAAAAAGTTCTGGGATTACAGACGTGAGCCACTGTGGCCAGCCAGTATTCTTAGCCTCTTGAAAGGGAGACTTGTGGGGAGCAACTGTTTTGGGGAAGGAATTAGTGAGGATGAGAAAAGGAGATTCTTCCAGTCAGCCTCTTGATGTATTTGTTTTGCCCACATTTTAAACTCAGGGGATGACATATTCATCATACATTTTAACGTGAAAGGCTGACGGCATTGGTTGTCTCTGGTCTGTTACTCTCTCTGGTCATATCCATCAAGTCACTGATCTTGGCTGCGCATGTAGACAGGCAGGTGGTGTATTCCCTCTGCTCCTGCTGGGCTCTACCGCGCGCTGGCCGCCTGGCTCTCCTGTAGCTCACTCTGCCTCTGTCCAGCTGTGAGTCTTGTCCAAGCCTGTTCTCGGCCCCTGGTTGCTTGCTTCTTTGTGACTTCTCTCTCCTTTGTCTTGGCCTCAGCCTCCACCTTGGGTGTTGGGCTCCACACCCAAGGTGGTGCTTGGTGCTGGGGCTCAGTCTGCAGATGTGCACATGAAGACTCAGGCGCTCACTTAGGGCCCGGGCGAGACACTTCCCTGCCTTGCTGTCCCCAGCACGCCTGCAGCCTCTCGGAGTCATTGCTCTTGGCGCCTGCTGTCTGCTTGGTTGAGAATGTCGAACCCCTGCTAGAGCCTCCTTGGCCGCACGTGTTCTTGTCTCAGCCCTCCCTGGCGCCCCGTCCCTTCTTCCTCCCTCCCTGTCTGTCTTGAAGGACACATGTCCTGTCCGCCCTGACCCATGTGCTCGGCTCCCAGCTCTTCTCAAGTGCCTGGCTGTGACCCCAGCCCTTCTCTCTCGGGGATGTGCCTTCTGCTGGGTGCCACTTGATGTCCACGCTGGGCATCTTCCGCGTCCGAGGTCCTGGGCATCCATCCCACAGACCTGCCAGGTGTGATGTCCTCCCTTCTGGCTCACACGTGGAGCTCAGCAGCCACTTGTGGTGACAGCACCAAGTGTGGGTTTCCCAGCTTCACAGCCGGTACGCTGGGCAGCTCTGCGTGAAGCTGCCTCTGCTGCCATGGTCCTCCTCCTCTTCCCCTTTGTCCCTGGGCCCTAGTCTTGCCAACTCCAACCATCTTGTGTCCTCGAAGACGTGGCGGGGATGGCGCCTCCCCGGCCTGTGTCCTCTCTGCCTGGTCTCTCTCCTGCCCCCATGCTGTCACGCCCCGCTTCCTGGTGCGGATGCCATCTCCTGGTGACAGTTGCGGACAGTCCCAGCTGGAATTGTCCTGCGGTCTGAGAGCACGGCACCTTCTTGTGCCATCCCGTGACCCTTCAGTGGGCCCAACCTTGGTTGAAGCTGCATCTCACTCCTGGCGGCCCTGAGCTTTGCCCTCCTGCTCGCGGCTGAATATGCAAATTGACTGAGCAGACATGTCTTCAGACTCGGTGGTCGTTTCTGCCTTTTCATTTATGGTGTTTGTATGCGTGGCCGGGCCCTCCTCCCCCCCCCTTGTGCCTGTGCAGCCCGCATTTGCTGCCGGGGGGATCATCCGGCTTCCTGCCCTGTCACTGGGTTGTTCAGTGCTTCCTTGGCGCTGAAGATGGGAGGCCACGTGCTCATCCTCATGCTCTGGCCTCCACATCGGCCTCTACAGATGCTCATGGAGCATCTCCAAGTGTCGGAGGTTGTCCAGACGCCGGGACACAGCAGACAGGAAAGCAGCGGACTGCTCTCGGGAGCTGAGGGCCCCCTGTATAAGGGCGAGGGATGGGCGCCAGCCAGCTGTGCCTGGGCGCTGGGGCCAAGGACGGGGAAGGACACATCCGGGCTGGGTGGGTGAGATGGGCGGGGAGGACATCAGGGAGGCCTCCCGAGAAGAGCTGCGGGGCTGGCTTTCCCTTGGAAGGTGAGTTGGCGTTGGCTAGGCTGTATGTGCGGGTGTGAGTGCACACAGGTGTGAGGGTGTGTGTGTCCAGATGCACACACAGATAAGAGTATATGAGAGAGGTGTCGGATGCCATCTTTGTCCCTAGGAATTCCCATCTTCGGTCTTTTTTTTTTTTTT